GTCGGGGCCTCCTGAGCCCGCCCATGGGGCAGTCTGGGCTGAGGGAGGTGGACCCACCCATGGGGCCAGGCAACCTCAACATGAACATGAATGTGAACATGAACATGAACATGAACCTGAATGTGCAGATGACCCCCCAGCAGCAGATGCTGATGTCACAGAAGATGCGGGGTCCTGGGGACATGATGGGGCCCCAGGGCCTCAGTCCCGAGGAGATGGCCCGCGTTCGGGCCCAGAACAGCAGTGGCATGATGGGCGGCCCGCAGAAGATGCTCATGCCCTCTCAGTTCCCCAGCCAGGGCCAGCAGGGCTTCTCCGGGGGCCAGGGGCCTTACCAAGCCATGCCACAGGACATGGGCAACAACCAAGACATGTTCAGTCCTGACCAGAGCTCCATGCCCATGGGCAGTGTGGGCACCACCCGGCTCAGCCACATGCCCCTGCCCGCTGCATCCAATCCTCCCCCCGGGCCCGTGCATTCAGCCCCGAGCCGGGGGCTGGGCAGGCGGCCTTCAGACCTCACCATCAGTATTAACCAGATGGGCTCGCCAGGCATGGGGCACCTAAAGTCGCCCACCCTTAGCCAGGTGCACTCGCCCCTGGTCACCTCGCCCTCTGCCAACCTCAAGTCGCCCCAGACCCCCTCCCAGATGGTGCCCTTGGCCTCCGCCAACCCGCCGGGACCTCTCAAGTCACCCCAGGTCCTCAGCTCCTCCCTCAGCGTCCGGTCGCCCACTGGCTCGCCCAGCAGGCTCAAGTCTCCCTCCATGGCGGTGCCTTCTCCAGGCTGGGTTGCCTCGCCCAAGACAGCCATGCCCAGCCCTGGGGTCTCGCAGAACAAGCAGCCACCTCTCACCATGAACTCTTCTGCACCCCTGGGCAATGTGGAACAGGGTGAGTAGACCAGTGGGGTGCCTCTCAGGTGGGCGTGCTCTCCTGGGCAGGTGGCGGTGGCTGTGCTGGGCTCGCTCAGGGAGCACTGCACCCATCTCCCGGGTATTTTGCTTGGGACTTGGCTGGGGGTGGGGTCTTCTGCACTTCAGAAATTGCTTGAAAAGGGTGGGCTATGGTTCCCTGGGACATAGGTGTGCCTGGGGGAGTCCAAGGGAGACGTGGGGAGCTGAGCTCGTCCCAAGTCCCCCAGTACGAGCAGCCCAGTCACCCCTTGCTCTCTTTTGTCTCTGTGCTTCTTCAGGTGCCCTCCCACCTAGCGGCCCCCGGAGCAGCTCCTCCGCGCCTCCCGCCAACCCTCCCAGCAGCCTCATGAACCCCAGCCTACCGTTCACCTCCTCCCCAGACCCCACGCCTTCCCAGAACCCCCTGTCACTGATGATGTCGCAGATGTCCAAGTACGCCATGCCCAGCTCCACCCCGCTGTACCACAATGCCATCAAGACCATCGCCACCTCCGACGACGAGCTGCTGCCCCCACCACCGCCTCCGCAGGGCTCTGGGCCAGGTGTGGGGACAGCTGGGGGACCCCGGGGCTGGGAAGAGTAGGCACAGCGAAGACCTGCCCCTGCAGCCATGCTGGCTTTTCTGCGCTTCCGCGGCGGCCTGGGCGTGGGAGGTGGGGAGGGGTGTTGAGGTCCTAGGCTGCTGGTGCCACTTAACTGCAGCCATTCAGGAAACTCCTCTGCAGTGTGTCAGTGGCACATGTGGTCAGAACTTGGGCTCCGGGCTTCTGGATAGATCTCTCCATTGCCCTCGCGCTGTGTCTCTGGGATTGGGGGAGGCCAGTGGGGCAGGCTGGTACCGCCTGGCTAGGGATGGGGAGGCGCTGAGTTGTGCACCCTCTCCGTGCTGGGTACACACGGCTCTGACCCCTTGTCCTTTTGCCCCACAGGCATCAGCAACAACCAGCCCAACCAGATGCACCTGAACTCGGCTGCTGCCCAGAGCCCTATGGCCATGAACCTGCCAGGCCAGCAGCCCCTGTCCCACGAGCCCCCGCCTACCATGTTGCCCTCCCCCACTCCCCTGGGCTCCAACATTCCACTGCATCCCAATGCGCAAGGGACAGCAGGGCCCCCTCAAAACTCAATGATGATGGCCCCCGGGGGCCCAGACTCCCTGAATGCCCCCTGCGGCCCTGTGCCCAGCTCTTCCCAGATGCTGCCCTTCCCCCCGCGGTTACAGCAGCCCCATGGTGCCATGGCCCCCACTGGGGGTGGGGGCGGGGGGCCTGGCCTGCAGCAGCACTACCCTTCAGGCATGCCCCTGCCCCCAGAGGACCTGCCCAGCCAGCCCCCGGGCCCCATGCCCCCCCAGCAGCACCTCATGGGCAAAGGCATGGCTGGGCGTGTGGGCGACACCTACCCGCCGGGCGTGCTCCCTGGGGTGGCGTCCGTGCTGAACGACCCCGAGCTGAGCGAGGTGATCCGGCCCACCCCGACGGGGATCCCCGAGTTCGACTTGTCGAGGATCATCCCCTCTGAGAAGCCAAGCAGCACCCTCCAGTACTTCCCCAAGAGCGAGAACCAGCCCCCCAAGGCCCAGCCCCCCAACCTGCATCTCATGAACCTGCAGAACATGATGGCGGAGCAGACCCCTTCTCGGCCCCCCAACCTCCCAGGCCAGCAGGGCGTCCAGCGGGGGCTCAACATGTCCATGTGCCACCCCGGACAGATGTCCTTGCTGGGCAGGACAGGAGTGCCCCCGCAGCAGGGCATGGTGCCCCACGGCCTGCACCAGGGAGTCATGTCCCCCCCACAAGGCCTCATGGCCCAGCAGAATTTCATGCTGATGAAGCAACGGGGCGTGGGGGGCGAGGTCTACAGCCAGCCCCCCCACATGCTGTCCCCGCAGGGCTCCCTCATGGGCCCCCCGCCCCAGCAGAACCTCATGGTGTCCCACCCCCTGCGGCAGCGCAGCGTGTCTCTGGACAGCCAGATGGGCTACTTTCTGAGCCGTGGCGGCATGGCCAACCTGGCCCTTCTAGCGGTCCGTGGAGGGCGGAGCCTGGGCAAGGCTGCAAAATATGCTAATCTAAAGAAAACTTCCCCCTGTGTTGGGATGGCCTGGGTCCAGGGGTGGGGTGGAGGGGGGGCGGGGGCTTGTGTGGGGGCGTGGCATTTGTGGAGACCAGATGTGCTGGCAGCCTAGAGGGAAGCGGCAGAGCTGGGCGGGTGGGGGTGGGGGGGATTCGGGATTGGGGTTGGTTCCGTTTTGGCCACCAGGACTGCCCCTCCCCAACCCCTAGGCGTCTCCTTTCCCTCTCCCTCTCCCTCTCCCTCTCTCTCTCTCTCTCTCTCTCTCTCTCATTCTCTCTGCAAGCCCCGTCCCTATCCCCACCTCCTCCTGCTGAGCTTTGGATCCTTAGGGGAGGGAGGGTCCTTTCTGCTGCTGTCTCCCGTCTTCATTTCTCCGCCTCTGGTTTCTCTGCCCCACCCCTTTCCCTTCTGTCTTTTCCTGCCTTATTCCCACCCCCACCTGCGATGTGGCTGACCCCCTCTCCCACCCCTCCCTGCAGGCAGCTGGCCAGGTGGGCAGGTGCCAGCCATAGCTGTAAATAGAGCGCTGGGCTTTTGTGCCGGTTTGTGTGTGTGCTGTATTTCTGTGTTTTGATAGAAGTCACACAAAAAAAGAAAGGATAAAAGAAACCCTCCCTGCTCCTTCAAATGCTTGCCCCTCCATCTCCCAGGACCGAGGGACATGCCCGCCCACTGGGTGCCGTGTCTCTGCGTCCCTAAAGGTGTCCGTTCCTGTCCCCTCCCCAAGTGATGAAATGACATAGATGCCCCACACCACCCTGAGGTCAGACCACCGAGGCTTCCACCTGGTGAGCCCCAGCGGGGCGGCGGGGAGAACGAGTGTGCACCTGCACGCCTGTTAGCCCATGCCGGTGACATGGGGCCCTGGTTTTCCACTGCTGATGTCAGTGCCTCTGCTGCTACATCTTAGCCAGAACTTGAAGCCCTTTGTCCCATGCTGGGATGAAGGAGAGGAGGAGGAGGCAGTAGCTGAGTAGCTTCCCCCAGGGGAGCCATAGAGGGGGTGATGCGGCCCCTACCCCCCCCCCCAGTGGGAGCCTGTGGCCACAGTACCCCTGGCCAGGTGGCCCCTGGGCCCTGGCTCCTCAGAGCCTGCCTCCCACTTCTTACCAAAGAAGGAAGGAGCAGCGCTCGGTTGAGTCAGACTGCTGCTCTCCAGCCTCCACCCCAGAGGGAGCGATGGGGAGTGCTAGGGGTGGGGGCAGCCTGCCCAGAACGACCAGGCCCCCTGCCCCGGGGCTCCAGGCTCCAGGCCTGCCCGAGCCCGCCCAGGCGCAGCCCCTGCTTTCCCTTAGCCCCTTGCCCTCCCCTGGAGGAGCACCCCACCTGCCTCTGGTCCGAGCTGAAGCCATATGCGACTCTTGGCCCCAGGAATTCAAAACTCCTTTTCTCACTTCCTTTCCTGCCTTGTGAGGGGGCGGGGCTGCTCTGGGCTGCAGCCTCTGGCGCTCTGCCCCCAGGGCCAAGGGCCATTCTAGACAGGGTATCTTCTGCCAGGGCCCCGCCCCAGCCCCCCTGGCCTGCAGGGCCTGGTTTCGCATTGGCAGCTGTAATACAAAGGGAATTCGCCCCCACTTCTCCCAGTCTGGTGCTGTCCACTCAGTCCACCGTCAGCCGGGTCAAGCGCCAAGCGCCACTTCCTGCAGGGCTGGCTGCAGGATCCTGACCCCCGCCCCCACCACCTCCCAGGGGCTGAGGCTGGGGCCTCTGTGTTGGGGAGCACCCTCCAGGCGCTGTGCCCGCCCTGCCTCCACCCAGGCCTTGTGCCCGGGAGCCCCCACTCCTGTCCCAAGACTGCCCGAAGTGTCTAACTCTGAGTGTGTCCTGCCCCGAGGGGAGAGAGTGCAGGCTGAAAAGGGCCCCACGCCCTCCCTGCTCCCCTCTCTCCCTCCCCCCCCTCTAGCTTCCCAAGGTGAACTCCACAGGCCAGCCTACTTCCCTCCATCCATGGCCATACCCCCAGCCATTTTGTACCATTATATAAATATATATATATAAATATAAATATATAAATACAATATGTGAAGACATCCTCTTGGTTTTTATTTTGAAACAATTTTTAGGCTTGTTCTGGGGGTCTCTGTGCTGCCTGTACTGTATTGACCTGTTTTATAGGTGCCTTTTTATTAAAAAGAAAATTCAAAATCCAACCTCTTGCCTTTTCCTTCTGTGTCTGACTCCTCCTTAGCCAGCTTCCTTCTAGATGCAAGGAGGAAAAAGGGGGACTCCAGGGCTTCCCGGATATGCAGGCACAGGGCCCCAGGCCTGCTGTAGGGGACCCTGGGCTCTCACCCACAGTCAGAGGCTGGGGAGGGGGAGGACAGAAGGCCGCACAGGTGCCCCCACCCCCGCCCTGAGTGTGGAGTGCCCCCAAGCGCGGAGTCGCTTCCTCTGGTTGCATCTGAGTGGTGTCCTCTTGGGGACAGGGCTTCCTGGGGACTGGGGACTTCCCTGCCCAGGTCTGCTTCTCACGCTGCTCAGCCTCAGGTGATACTGTGGGGGCGGGGGCCTGGGTCAGGTGGCTCCCAGAGGCCCCTCTCTGTCTGTCTGCTCCAGGGGCTCTCCGTCTCCAACATGCGAGCTGGGACCCACCCCCCCACCCCCCTGCCTCAGCTTCTGTAATTTCCATGGGAAGGGTGCCAAGGAGGGGACGAGTCTATCTCCTTCCCATCAGTGTCCAGACATCCAGGCCCTGGACCACGCTGGGAGCTCCGCACCCACTGGTGCTTGGCGGAGGAGGCAGCTGGGTCTGACTTACACTTGTCCTTCCCTCTTCCCGGTTAGAGGGGAGTCTTTCCTGTCGCACCTTGGGCTCCGCTCCTAGCTTGCCCTTAGCTCTTCCTCGGGGCGCTGGCTGGCCTCTGAGGCCACCTGGAGTCCACCCAAAGTCTGAAGACCTCCCAGGACCCAGAGACACGGGGCTGACCCAGTGCCGTTTGGGTCAGAGCCAGGGCAGCTGCCCGAACTCCATCAGTCTGAGCCTCCTGCTTGGTTGAGATGGCTGCAGGGTGGGGACCCTGGCAGAACATCTGTGGCGAAGCGACTGAGACATGTCAGGGCCACACGCTCTGCGAGCAGCTGGTCTTTCCGCAGCCTTAGCTTCCACCCATCCCCTGGTGCTTGGCTTCTCCTGGCTTCGCTGGGCAGCTGGGGTAGGGGAGGTGGGCAGCTGTGCAGGGCAGTGGCCTTGAAGATGCTGGATGGCTCTGTGGGAGGGGACTGGCTTTCCCTATTGGCGAGGGCAGAAGTATCAGCTGTCGCTGGTTAGGGGGAGAGGAGGCATGCGGGTCCTCCAGCACGAGACGCTGTGGGAGGGTTCAGAGAGCCTTTGCTTTGCCTTTGGACTGCTTCCTTCCTCCTCTCCAGGGCTAGAAGAGCTCTGGGAAGAGGGGTTGGTTCATCCAGCTGCCCTGCACAAGGATGCGGCCCAAGGCCAGCCCTTTCTTCCGGGTGGAAGGGGTTCCTGCCTCCCCAGACGCTCTAGGGAAAGCAGAAACGCAGGGCCGTGCCGGGTCCTAGAAGGTGGTGAGGGAGGTGGCGTTCTCGGACTCGGAGAGGCTGCTCTTGCGCCAGCTGGGGAAGAGCTGGCACAGGGAGGCGGGGCCGGCGCAGCCCAGCTTGGTCAGAAGCCGAGAGAGGTCGCTGCGGAACTTCACGCCGGCAAAGGTGTAAAGCATGGGGTTGAGGCAGCAGTGGGCCAGGCCCAGGAACTCGCACATGGTGATGGCCACCGGCAGAGAGCCGTGCAGCTCGCAGCTGTTGCCCACGGCCTTCAGCCTGGCCAGGGTGTCCAGGAAGATGACAACGTGGTAGGGCGACCAGCAGAGGAAGAAGATGCTGGTCACCAGGATGGCCACCCTGACTGCCTTCTGCCGCTGAGGGCGCCTCTGGGCCTGGCACAGCCTGTGCACCACGCCCACGTAGCACCAGCCCATCACCAGCATCGGCAGCAGGAAGCCCCCGACGTGGTAGAGGAAGCGGGAGATGAACCAGGCGTTGGTCTCGGCTTGGTTCTCCTGGGAGAAGGTGCAGCGTGGCAGGGAGTCGTTGTGGTGGGGCCGGCTGACCTTGGCGAAGAGAATCTCTGGCAAGGCAAAGAGGAAGCCCGCCAGCCAGACAGTGGCGCAGGTGATGTGGATGGAGAGGAGGCGGCGGTGGCGGTAGGCATGCACGGCGTGGACGATGGCCAGGTAGCGGTCGACAGCGATGCAGGCCAGGAGCAGGCTGCTGCAGTAGAAGTTGATCTTGTGCAGAGCGATCACCGTTTTGCAGAGGAAGGTCCCCAGGACCCAGCCCACGGAGCCCTCGGCCACGGCGAAGGGCAGGATGAAGACGAGCAGCAGGTCGGCCACGGCCAGGTGGAAGAGGAAGGTCTCGGTGGAGCTGCGAGTCTGCCGGTGCCTCTCCAGGATCACCAGCACAAGGATGTTGCCCAGCATGCCCAGGAGGAAGATGAGACTGTAGGCCACGGGCATGAACACAGCCTTGAAGGAGCTCAGGAGGGGCCCCTCGGCGCTGGAGCAGAAGTGGCTTTCCAGTTGCGTGGGCTCCGTGCTGTCATTGTAGTTGAGGAATTCCTTGTACTGCAAGGACAAGGAGATGGGAGGGTGAGGAGCTGAGGACGCTGCTTTTCTGCTCCCAGGGGAACCTGCCTCCCCCATGTACTTTTCCTACCCTTCTGGGCTGACTGCTTTTGTCTCTGCATCCCCAAGTGCCCCACTGCCCAAATTCCAATTTTCCTTAGTCTATCCCTTCTTAGAAGTTATCTATGGTTATTATTAGAGGCAGAGACAGACAGACACAGCTTCCGTCCACTGGTTTACTCCCCAGATGCCTGCCACAGCCAGGGCTTGTCCAGAAAGCGGGGTCTCCCATGCAGGTGGCAGGAACCCAGCTACTTGAGTCAGCACCCTCTCTCTCCCAGGTGCGCATCAGCAGGAAGCTGGACTCAGGAGCCGAGTCAGGACTCAAGCCCAGGCATTCCAGGACGCGACAGGGCTGTCCCAAACAGTATCTTAACTATCGTGCCAAAAGCCTGCCCCCTGAGTGTATCCTTGCGCCAATCAGCTTGTCTTGCCCAGCTTCAGTTTTTTGTCTATAAGAAGGACTAATTCTTCACAGGTGGAAGGATACCCTGAGGGCGGCGTGCTGCTCGCCCTGGCGGGCTGTGCCCCCGCAGATTGGTTTGTGCATGGGTGTTCTCAGGGGTGGAAGGCTGCACGCTCTGGGGCTGGAATCAGAAGTGCAGCCTGGGGGCCGGATTGGTGGGGACTAGGAGCCAGCTCTTGCAGCTCTGAGCAGTAGACATTAGGAGCCTGCTGCGGGCGGGTCAGGGGCAGACTGAAGCGGCTGGCTGGCTTCCCTTTGATTGGTCTCTGTCTTCCTGTCTTCATGATCATTGAAAGTGTGGCAACAGCCTCCCTTCTGGTTTCATCCACACACGCTTGGGTTATGCTAGCCTTATGGATGTGTCTCGCGGAAGACCGAGTTGGTTGGATTCGGCGTTTGGCTAGCCGCAGAGCCAGTACGTGCGCCGTTCAGCCGCACTGCCTGGACCTCGCTCTCAAGGTTGCTGGGAGGGAGCGTGGGCAAGGCCTCTACTACATCCCATGCCTCGCACACCCCCCACGGCCAGGAAGCAGAGACAGGCATAAGGAAGTGCCGGAGACCCGGCACCGGGCAGGGGAGGAGGCTGTTCCAAGCGAAGGGGGCGTGCCCACTCTGCCTGCGGAAGTTCCCTCCTCCACATCCTCCTCCTCGCTCCCCAACACGGCCTACCCCATCACCCCCACCCCCCCCCACCCCGGGCTCAGGTTGTTTACCCGGCTAACCGCAAAGGAAGACATGGTGCCTGTTTTCATACCTTTCACTCACAGCTGTTCCCTGCACCTGCTGCACCTCACCTCCCAGCTCTGTTCTTCCCACCCCTCTCCAACTGCCCCCTCCCCGTGGCAATTCAAATCCACTTAGGTGGGATCAGAAAGGCGATTCTGTAAATGATGAGCCTGCTCTGTCCCCTAGGCTGTAGGTACTCTCAAACTGCTCCCGAGCCAGGACAGCAAGGGTTCCCGGGGAGCAGGGGACGGCTGTGCTGGCCTCCACAGAGCTTTCTTGCTGCCCTGGGACAATTGTAGTCACGCCTGTCCCCCAACGGTGCAGAGACCCATGCCCCCACCTGTGTCCTGTCTTCTGGTGCCAGGAGTGGGTCCTTAAGAAGGAGGAGGGAGGAGACACACAGTGCAGTGACAGCATCCACGGCTCGCGCCCGTGACCCCCTGCCATGGTCCCTGTCCAGCTCGTCTTCACCCCGAGGTGCGGGACTACAGTCTGTCTCCACGACCCTGTCCCGTCAGCTTTTCCCTGTCCGCCTCCTGCGCAGGCTGAGTTTCCACCCCACCAATCCCACTGCATGCGTCTCGGCAGCTCATCACCTGCGAGCAGTGGTTTTCCTTTCTTTTTGTCTTTATCTTTTTTTTTTCTTTTCAGTTTCACATTTCATAGCAAAGTCAATTACAAGTATAGGAAAAAGTTATTTTTGTGATATCATGAATGGAGATCAGAGTAAACCAAACCGAGCTGGGCTCGCACAACAGAATTCAGCGCCGCGCTTGGAGAGGTTTGTGAGCAGGTCCTCCGAGGGCAAGATGTTCCACACGTTGCTAAATTTCAGAGCCACAGGCGCGATTCCCTGGACTCTGAACAGCGCCCATGACTGCAGGCACCACAGGCTTTGCCTGGGGCCACACACCCTGTGCGGTGCGGGCTCCCCTCCTTGCCTCTAAACCAGAGCTCTCCACTGCTTGCCCGTGTGGGGTGTTCAGAAACACACATGCCTTTGTTTAAGAAAAGGGTTCCGTTTTCATCTGCACACCATGGCCCTGTAGGGCGAGGACTGACTCCCCAGCAGGGCCTGTAAATGCCACCAGGATGCAGAGTTCTCTGACATCCGAGCTGACCTACTTTATTGCTTCAGGCCCCCGATGCTAGGTGCACTGTTCTCCCGGCTGCCCACACTCCAGCGCTGTCCTGGTCCCAAACCTTTGTGCAAATTCTTCTTTTCGCCTGGCCGGCCTTTCAACCCAGTCTGCCCATCTAAGTCCTCTCCTGCCTTCAAAACACAACTCCACCTTCCTGCCTCCTCCCTAGCTCCTCCTTCCACTCATAATGCGCGTGCATGTGCTGCGGCACTCAGGCTTGGCACGTTCACTCTCTCTCTCTCTGGATGCAGAGCTCCTGCGGCCAGGCCCACTGCCCACCCCACGACGCAGATGCGTGCTGAGCTGCTCTGAGAGCAGCTTCCCAGAGGGCGCCGGGGCCGTGCTGTTCCTGGGCGGGAAGCAGGCGCCTCTTTAAGCAATGCCCGCCTCCTCCCAACACCTTGGCCAGTCCGGAGCCCATCTGAAGTTCTCGCTCCCTGTTGGGAGTTATTTCCAACATCGTCCCGAGTACAACCATTTGACTCAGAGTGGAATTCAGCAGGAGTTCCCAGGGACATGCAGTGAGCAAAGGAATTCAGAGGGAGGAGCGAGCAGGGCCTGGGGCGGCCCGCAGGGCTGGACTCCACCTGCCTTGGCAGTGGCTGCAGCCTGGCTGCCTCTGTGCTCCGGGGAGGGCTTAGGTCCAGCCAGCCTGTCTGGCCCAGAAGGCTCTTTCATGACCCTCTCGAATTCCCACCCTCCAACGCATCCAGGCTGCTTGGCGTCCTGCTGTTTTATTTCACCGCTCATTTGAAGCCGAGGCAGTGGAACTTGTCCTCAGGGCCCCTCGGCTCTGAGAAGCCAGGTTTAGGGGAAGCCTGGGGAGGGGGTTTCTGCCCTCTCTCCAAGAGCTGTTTACTTCATGAAGCGCTCAGCAGCCAGGGCAAGGGAGAGGAAAAAGCTGGTGTTGGGGTGGTGGGAGTTGTTAGTACATGCAGCGGGAGGTGTCAAACAGCCATTGTGAGGGCCTGGGAGTGGCACATGTTGAAGCCACTTCTCACACGCAGGGGTTCTGCCGCCCTCTCCTTCCCCACACCGTGGAGAGACGTCCTAATTGGCTCTGGCCCGGTGGGAAGTTGGGGAATCAGAAATCCTGGATGTTGTGTGGCCCGCAGTGCCAGCTGGAGCCCTCCAAGCTGCACGCCAGCAGTGCGGCTGTGGCTTACTCGTTCTTTGACATACAAAGCTGCAGAAACCCAAGGCCCTGGTGCACGCACACTCAGACAGCAACAGACATGTGCCCAGATGGGCCACACCGGGTGGCATGGGGCATAGGCAGACGCCGACGGAGACAACAGCCTGTACACGGGCCAGGACTGAAGCTCAAAGTCAGCAAGAAAACACGGCAGCTGGGTGGAAGCTGAGCACGGAGCCAGGCTTCGGGTTAGAAAGTCGCTGGGAGGGCTGGGCATTGGTGCACTGTTACGAAGTTGCATGGGAGGCCGGCATCCCTGGTTCCTGGTTGGAGTCCCGGCTCCCCTCTATTCCAGCTTCCTGCTACTACACACCCTGGGGGGCAGCTGCTGATGGCCCAAGTAAAGGACTTGGCTTCCTGCCACCCCCGTGGGAGACCCCAATTGAGTTCAGGGCTCCTGACTTTGGCCTGATTCAGGCCTGGTTGTTGTAGGCATTTAGAAAGTGAACCAGCAGATGGGAGGTCTCTGTTTCTGTCCCCCTGCCTTTCAAATAAAATGAAAATAAATAAGAAAAAAAGGATGAGGGACTGGAACGGGGAGGGACGTGGGGAGAGGGGTGGGGAGGTGCAAAGTGCTTGGCCTGTGGTGGGTGGGACCACAGATGTTACCGCCCCCATCCCCCACCCCCAGGGCACTGTAGGACCCAGCCTTTCCTCAACACTGACGGCTCCGGTCCCACCCGACCTCTCCAGATACGCGGAGGCTGCCTCTCTGCCTTACTCTGCCTGCAAGAAGCTGCCCTTGCCTTTGCCGATGGGATTCTCTGTGTGTGGGGGGGGACCTGGGGCATTCTGCAGGGGTTGATCCTGGGTACCCTCCTCCTTAGCCTTGGGGAGGACGAGGCTGGTGGACACTTTCGGACAATGTCGGATTCTCCGTGAGCCGGAACCATGGGCCCAAACTAAACAGATGGAAATGCACTGGGCAAAAGTACAGAGCTGGCCTTGGGTTTGTACCATCAACCGTCCAGGGACAAGCCAGCGAAGGCCTCCTAACGACCGCTCGTGGGAAAATGACTTGTCACTCTGGTGACCGCAAGCTTCAGATGAGTCACCAGGGCGACGTGACTGTGGGAGAGCTGCTGTTATCTCTCTCTAGGTGGACAGAAACCTCCAAGTGGGCGGCTGGACAGCAGCCCTGCTTGGTGGTCACAGCAAGGGAGACCCTGCCCTGGGAAGGAGCTTTCAGTCCGGACAGGAGCCTGTGGGCGCTGTCTTCAAGGACTGGCAAGAGGCCTCAGGGCCAAGAGGGCTGGAGTGGGCCAAGGGGTGAGCTGCCAGGGGCCAGCCCAGGAGCAAGGGGCGGAAGTTGAGGGGGTGGGGTTTCGGTCAAAGGATGGACAACTTCCCAACAGACAGAGCTATCCTACACCAGGATGGGGCCCTTGGTAGGGAGGGGACGGGTGAGCCCAAGTGTGTGGGGGGGCCTCCTACCCTGGGAAGGAGGCTGGACCCCTGCTCACAGCTCCCTGCTGTGCCCTGCCCGGTGCTGAGCTGGTTCTTAGCGTGATCCTCATGTGCCTCAGCTCCCGGGAGCCTTCCATTTTCTAGACTGTTCTGCAGCCCCGCCTGCCCCCGCATGCCCTTGCTTCCCAGCCCCAGGGAGGGGGCGGTGGTGGTGGTGGGGAGGTGGGGGGTGGGCAGAGCTGCCTGCCAAGTGCGTGGCTCACTGAGCGAGCCCAGGGCCCTGAGGTCTGAGTCATACTGGCAGCGGGAAGCCGGTCATCGCTCTGGCCGAGGGGAGCGGGCAGGCTCCATCTCCTTTTATGTCCCTACGTGGGTGTTCGCAGCTGAGAGTCAGGCGTGGAGCGTGGAGCCGGCCAGGGCCCCTCACACTCCAGCCGTCAGTGGCTTGAGGGGTGCAGGGGGCACTGAGCCTGGGCTGGGGTACAGGCGTGAGTCTGAACCCCTTACCCCACTTTTCCGTCAGCAGACCCATGCTCCCTGTAGGCCGTCTGAGACTCTGGCTTGTCCTTTGTTACACTGCCCCCCTTTCTCACCCCCCACCAAGAGAGTGCTGCCAGAGTCCAGTCCATCTTGACCCCAAGGGTCCTGGCCACCAGGAGCATGGTCCTGGGTGTGGCGCTAGAGGGCGATTTCTAAGCTGTTCTTGGAGATGGAGCTGAGACTTGAACCTAAGAACTCTGATATGGGATACAGGTGTCCCAAGTGATGTCTTTTTATTTATTTATTTGTTTTCACCTACTTAAAAGGCAGAGAGAGAGAGAGGTCGAGAGGTCTTGCATCTGCTAGGTCACTCCTGAAATGCCCACAACAGCCAGGGCTGCTGGGGGAGCCAGGAGCTCCATCCAGATCTCTCATACTGGTGGCAGGGACCCAAGCACTTGAGCCATCATCAGCTGCCTGCCAAGTATGGTAGCAGGAAGCTGGATCAGAGGCAGAGCAGCTGGGACCTGAACACTCTGATGTGGGACGCGGGCATCCCGAGCAGCGACCTCACCCACGGTACCACAACGCCCGCCCCCAAAGTGATGTCATAACTGTTGTACCAAAAACCCACCCCGCTCTGGGACTTTTGACTTGACTGTGGCGGGGGATCCACCCCTCCTCCAAGGTAAAAGCCCAGAGGCAGTCTGAGCAGGTTTTGGTTCCTCTTCTTCACCCCTCCTTGGTGAAATGAGACAGTGCACGTGGACGGGCTCCCTCGCCTCTGATCCTCTGGTCACTCACGGGCGATGGTGATCACCAAGCCTGGGCCGCCTCACCCCTCTTGCTAGCGGCTTCCCCTCCTGGCCGCCTCCAGAGGTGCCCAGCCCAGGCCTGCGTGCTGTTGGCAGGAGGCTCCCCCCGCCCCACCAAGGGTCCCTTGCACAGGGGCTGCTGCCTCTCCAGCAGCATGGGTCCCTGGCAGGCCTGCCCCAGCGACCAGGCTCCTGCTTCCTGCAGGTTCTTAGCCATCTAGTTTTCTCCTTGGTCCGTGAGATTCCAGCAGGGCAGCCTCAAGAAAGCAGACGTTTTACGCAGCTGGAGTTGATCTTAGAAGTCAAGAGGAGAACGGGAGGGCACTCAGGTTGGCCAACACTCGGCCTACACACTCGAGCCCTCGGTTCTGAATCCAGCACTGGGTGCAGAAGCCAGAGCTTAGTTTGGATGAGAGCAGGGTGGGGACCGGGAAGCCCAGGGCCAGGAAGTCCGTTAACTCCAGAGGAGAGGGGGAGCAAAGGCCGTGAGTGATTCACAGAGGAAAGAAAGAGGCTCTGGCGCCACAATCTCTGCCTCTGTGCTATTGTGCACTTGGGGGAATCTGCCCTCGCTGCTCAGGGCCCTGCAGGGTGTGTGGGGTGGGCAAAGACAGCCCGCGTCCCTGAGGGGAGCAGCCCTGGCCCGAGTGCACGGGAGGGAAGTGGAGGCAGAGCCCAGCAGCGCAGAGCCTGGGTCGGGGGTGCGGTCTGGAAATGTTTGGGTTGCCTGGCCCAAGACTGCTCATTTGAGGTGTGCCATGAAGCCAGCCGAGAGACACGGCCCCCGCCCCCCACCTGCCTCTCGCAGGTCACGCAGTGGAAGGAGGCGTGCAGTTAGGGGAAACTTTTGAGGTTTCTCAGAAGCCAGGAACGGCCAGGTCTCCAGGTGGTTGCTAAGATATCCAACTGGGTCAGGGCCCGTGGTCAGTTCAAAGCTGGGGGCACAGGAAGACACCAGTCTCACCTAATCAGGCGCGGCCAGCAGCCGGGGTGGGGGGCCAGGCTAGGAGCACAGTACCCGGCCAGGGCAGTGGGCTCTCAGGGTGCCTGGGGGCCTCGCCTAGGCCCTGTGCGGAGACTCAAGGCAGCGTCTGATGCGGGGACCCCATGTAGCTGCACACAGAAGGGCTCTGGCCTTGGTTTAATGCCTGCTCTTGCGGCCCTCACATTCTCAATCGGTTCTCAACAGGGGGCCCCGTGTTTTCATTTCACACTGGGTCCCACAGACTACGCAGTGGGCTGCAATTTTCACCAGGGATTGGGTCTGGGAGGCTGGACTCTAGGTTGTGAGCCCTCCCTCTCGCTTTCCACCCCTGTTCTACTGACACTTCCCAGCAGTGGGCTCTGGGCAAGCGAGAGAGGAACAGGCTTTTCCCGGCAACTCTGGGGACATAGTTGGTGGAGGGAAGGTCACAGGCGAGGGGCAGCTGGGAGGGTGGGGCAGGGTCTCAGGGTGAGTTTCAGGTCAGAAGACCTGGTAGGGACCAAGCTTTGGGTCCTTTAGGACCTGGCCCAGAATGTAGCTCGGAGAGACGTTGTTGACCCCATGCCGAGAAAAGACCATAAGGACATTTCCAAGAAGTCTGCACCCAGACACCCCAGGGTGCTCTGGTTGAGCTGCTCTCCACACACCCTTCACAAGCCCAGTGACAGCCAAGTCAACCAAACCATTATGCTTCACTGGAGAGACCCAGGTGTGGCAGAGTGGGGCTGGGGACCATTTTTTTAGCCCACCCAAGAAACCCTTCCAAGAACACCCTATCTCTAGGGACTGCAGTCCTCTGAGCGTGGCCACGGCATGCTCTAGACCTTTCCAAGTCCAACACAGGGCTCCCTCGGCAGCCTGGCACCCCCTGCGCCCCGACCCCGGCTCCCTAGGGGCCTCTCCCTTGTTGCCATCTGGTCTCACACCAACCCCGTTGGGCACAAAGTCATCACCCAGGAGCTCGCAGGGAGCGATCTGTCTCTTCTTGGCCGGACCAAGTCCTCCCCTTCTCCCTCCAACACAGAGCCGACTGATGCGACAGTCATTCAGCGAGGGAGCGACACGGGCACGCTGATGGCTCCGTTAGCAGCGCCAGCGCCCTGGCATTAAGAAAGTCTCCAAAGCACGCGCCCGTCCAGCGCCCGTCCCAACCCCGAGAATTGAAGAGAGGAGCCCATCCAGAAGAAAGGAGGGCCACACAGCGAGGCAGGGGAGGCTTGAGCCCTGGTCTCCCAATGCCCTCCAAAAGACGCCCGCAAAGTGCGACAGCTCTGCTCCCTCCGGAGACTGGGAGAGAGAACACCTCAGAAGACAGGAGCCCGTGGGCCTGTCCAGATTCGACAGCCCCGCAGTGGGAGGGGACTGGCAAGCTGTTCCCTGTCCCCTGGATGCTGGCCCAGGAGATGAAGAATTCCAAGCAGGGCCTGGGCCACAGGGAGCGTCCGGTCCCTACTCACCACGTCCTCCAGATTGTAGTTCAAGAGGTCCACATCCAGGGTCATGGGGTAGTTCATGGCGGTGGCCGGGACTTGCCAGACCGGTCAGTATCTGATCAACCGCGGGAGGCTCTGCCCCAGTGCCTATAGAGAGCAGCAGGCGGCAGCTGCAAATGTAGGCAAATGAGCTGCACGCTGTCTCCTGGGGCTGCCGGGGGCTGCTGCCTGCTCACAACTCATCATTTTTGTTTCCACTGTGTCTTTTTTTTTTTTTTTTTTTTTGAAGAAAAAGGGAAAATCCCCCACAGCCTCAGTGCCAGTCAGGGTTTAAGCTTCTTTCCTGGCAACCGTTGTCTCGACTGGGGCTGATGTCTAGTGTAGTCTGCTCCCCGCTTCTCCTCTGGGACCCCCAGTTTCCACGACAACCACGATGCACATGACCAACCCCCCATAGAAAGGCACAGGGGAAACACTCTCCCAAGACCTCTCCCCCAAGACCAGCTCATACCTTCCTCTTTCCTCCCCACCCCAACCCAGGTGGCCAACCTGCCCAGCGTGCCCAGGACCGAAAGTCCCTTGTCTTGGGGAACCCCTCAGTCGGACACACCAAGGACCCAATTCCCCGCCACTCCTTCAACTTCAGAATAGTGAGCCCAGGAGCTCTCCAAGGGGACAGCACTGGAAGGTGGAAGTGGACTTGCTGAGTTAAAGCACAGCACAGGCATAGCCACACAGGGTCATGTCCTGACTCCACACGCTGACCTTCTGGCTACAAATGAACTTGATTGGCATGTAAATGATTGACGTAAATGACCCAGGCCAGGAGGGCTCCAGAGGTCAGCCAGTGTCACCCCCAAGGTTTCAGACAGGCTCGTGGCTCAGAGAAGGGGATCCAATGCTCACCACGGGTGGAGCTGGCACCGAACTGGGTCTCCTGACTGCACATTCAGGGCTTTCTCTGCCGCACCAGGCTGCCCCTGGCAGGGCGCGCCTCCCCCACCCCTGCCCGCCAGTCCGCCCGCTCTATCTGAGAAGCCCCTCTGGAGAGGTGGATGAATTTCACCTCCATGTCTCATCTTTGTACTTTCTTCCATGAGAAGGCATTTCCTGTCTTGGTCCACAATGACGTAAAATCAATGACTGTACACACAGCGGCACCCCGCCCCCGCCCTTGTCCTCGCTGTCCCCTGGCAGCCCCATCGCCAGTGGCTGGGGTCCTCCACGTGCCTCTGCCCCCTTTCCCTCGGGTGCGCGCACTGACAGCCCCACCTCACCCCAACAGGTGTGAGGAATTGTCAGCCTACTGCGTGCGCCTTCCCCACCCCCACCCCACCTTGCCTTCAGTAACTGCTTTCAGGGAGGGGGAAATCCCAGGACAAGAGGTCAGACCTCCTGTCCAGACTTCCGGTGCTGGGACCCCATGGGAGGAAGCTGTCTGGCTGTTTCCAGGGCGCTCAGCTGGCCGGGGGCCCTCCTCAGCCTTCCATCCCCCACCCCTCAAACATCGCAGCCCCTCCCAGTCCATCTGCATGTTCAGCTTAGCTTGTGGGATGCTAAGACATTGATCAAGAAGGGAAGAAGGCATTTGGCCCTTCAGTTACCATGCCGCTAGGGACACTGCGTCCTGTTTCTTCCAGGTGTGAATCCCAGCTCCACTTCCAATCCGGTTTCCTGCTGATGTGCCTACAAGGCAGCAGGTGATGGCTTAAGTACTGGGTCCCTGCCACCCACGGGGAGACCCAGTTGGAGTTCCTGGCTCCTGGCTTCAACCTGGCCCAGCCCTACTTGTTGTAGGCATCTGGAGAGTGAACTGGTGTAAGGGAGAGCTTTGTCTCTTCCTCTGCCTTTCAAATAAAATGAAAATAAATAAGAAGGAATAGAGCATCTAGAATCATCTAGGAACCGAAAGGGACTTTGGAAGACAAGCCACTCCTTCCTCCCGCCACCCCCACCGCCAGCAACTGCAAGTTCTCATCAGTGAATCCTCTTCAGATGGCATTGGTCAAACATCACAGGTTGAGAAGTGTGATTCTGGGGCCTGGCTCCGTGGCTCACTTGGTTAATCCTCCGCCTGCGGCAGCGTCGACATCCCATATGAGCACCAGGTTCTGGTCCCGGTTGCTCCTCTTCTAGTCCAGCTCTCTGCTGTGGCCCGGGAATGCAGTGGAGGATGGCCCAAGTGCTTGGGCCCCTGCACCCGCATGGAGACCAGGAGAAGCACCTGGCTGCTGGCTTCGGATCGGCATAGCTCTGGCCGTAGCAGCCATCTGAGATGTGAACCAACGGAAGGAAGACTTTTTTCTCTGTAACTGAAAAAAAAAAAGTGTGCTTCTTCCAGGAGCTCCTGTTGCAGTGTGGGACAGCTTAATGATTAGAATCGCATTCCTCACGCTGAGTCAAAAAACATCTTCCTGTGACTCATCCCCCAGGGTCCCGGCTGTGTCCCCTGCCTGATCATCCAGCTCCTCTCCCAGTAAGCACCCCCTGAAGACAGAAACCACATCCCCATGAGGCTTCTTGGCTCCAAAACACACAGTGTCCTCAACCATCCTTCAGAGATTTTTTTTTTCTGGGTCCCTCAGTAATTTCTCCCTTGACCTCTGGGTGATTTTGCCCTATCTGATTGGGACAAAATATGAGAAGGTGAGTTCCTCGTTCAGGACCCCATACCTGGGGGCTGGCCTTGTGGCACAGCCACCGTGTGTGAAGCGTGCTTCCCATTTCACAGTGCTGGTTTGAGTCCCGGCTGCTCTGTTTCTGATTCAGTTCCCGGGGAGCAAATTCAGCTACCGCACCTGGGAAGGCAGCAGAGGATGGCCCAAGTGCTTGGACCCCAGCCACCCGTATGGGAGACCAGGATAGAGCCCCTGGTTCCTGGCTTCAGCCTGGTCCAGCTTTGGCTATTGCAGCCACTTGGGGGAATGAACCAGCAGATGAAAGATTTTTTCCTCATCTGTCTCTCTCTGTCCCTCTGCCTTTCAAATAAATAAAATAAGTCTCTTTTAAAAACACTCAACTTGAAAAGAAAGGTCTCACACTTAAACAACTACAGTCCAGGTGGGCTTCCCTGTGGGCCCCCAGCCACCTTCACCACATGCCTAATGGGTTTCATTTCGACGCTTCAGTCCTTTGTTTCAGCTGATAAAGGGAAACTTGTGCGGTCCTGATTTGGGCGTCTGGTGATGTGATGACAATGCAGATAAGACAGCCTCGAGTCTCTCCAAGTCCTGATATTGACAGGACAAAGCCAAAGCAGAACCCTGCCTCGTGCCGGAAGAGACCCACTATTCTCCAAGGTCAGGAAGACTGCATGGAAGAGGGGGGACCCGAGTGGGGTATAGTCAGGGGAAGAGGGGACGTGGGGGTGTCAGAGATGACAACCACGGTGTGGAAGGAATCCTGCTGTGCCTGGGACGGTGTGGGCACGTGGAGTGTGCCGGGTGTGGCTGTGGTAGGGCTGGTGGTGACGATGGTGGGAGGGAGGGGAGACACCAGGAGACTGAGGTGTGCAGAGGTCAAAGTCACGGTTGTTATTTTGGTGCCTTCTTCTTTTGTGTTCTTCGCACAGCTGTCCCCTTCCCAGGCTGTGCTGCGAGCTGGAAGAAGGGCCTAGGGCAGACCAGGACTTTGCCACTGTCTCCGCCGCCACCGTCGCAGGCACTGGCATGTGGTTTTGAGGCAATGGGGCAGCGGGAGCCCAGGCTGTGAGCCTTTGGCCTTCAGATGCGATGGCAAGGTTTCTACCTGTGTGCAACGATCAGCCAGGAGGGAACCCTTCCAGGTGAGGCAGCTCAAATTTCTTTTCAACTTGCCTCTACTGTGGCTCTGTGAGATCCCACTTCCGAGTCCCTGGGTAGCTCGCTGAGGCTGGCTTGTTTCCTAGGCTTTTCTTGAAAATGACCCGTAAGTGATGGATGGGCATTGGGTACAGTGGTTACGTCACCACCTGGAACATGTACATCCCTTTCCTGAGCACCTGGTTCAAATCCCATTTCCACTTCTGATCCAGCTGCCTGCTAACGTGCGCCCTGGGAGGCAACAGGTGATGGCTCAAGTGCCTGGATCCCTGCCACCCGCCTGGATGGAGTCTCAGCTCCCGGCTTCAGACTGGCCCGATCTTTGGCTGCTGTAGGCATTTGGGGAATGCACAAGCAGGTGGGAGAGCTCTCTCCATCTGTCTCACTGTCTCTATCTCTCTGTCTTTCAGATAAAATCAAAGTAAATAAATAAATGAAATTTTAAAGAAGAAAGAAAATGACCGCCGGGGGCAGCCACCACGCCAGAGCTCGTGTCTGGTCCAGGTGGGAGCGGCTGCTTAGTATTAGCCCGAGTGGATTTTCCTCATAATTATGATTTCGTGGTTCATGGAATTTATCAGGTTTCTCTCTGTTCCAGATATTGGATACAATCACTCATCTTGGAGTTAGGTTTCCACATTCCACAGAGAAAGGAACGTATTCCACAGTCTTGGGTGCTGTTGCAGGAAATAGGCTGGCGCTTTGCCCAATTTCCTTCATGGCCCTGGGCCGCTCTCTCTCCCTGTCTTTCCCAGGCTCCCGCCCAGCAGTTCTCAGAGCAGAGCCCCACAGTCCCCTCCCTCGCCAGCCACAGAGTGTGGGCCCAGGGAGAATCACAGTGACACTGCACAGCATTCACCCACGCACGCAGTCCCGCACGTCTAAAATTTAATTTCTGCTTAACCTTCATATCCCACTTTATCGTCATGCTTCGTCATATGTGACCCACAAAACCCTTTGTGCACCTACATCCCTGGCTGTGGTTTCTGGGGGACTGATGCAAGACAGTCCCATGTTCTTGCTCACGATGGCAGCGGGCCTCAGGGTCTACAGTCGGCTCGGTGGGCACCGATGTGAGGGTCTCTCTCAAGACCACACAACCTCCTCTCAGGGACCCCATTTTGCACAGGAGAGGCATTTTCCCCACCATGGGCTGTTTATCACGTATTTGCAGGTTGGGTACGGAGTGTGCAGCAGGCGGAGGGGAGACTCTGATGGGGCACTTTGCTGCACAGCGAGGCAGAGCAGATGCAGGTATGCACACACACACTCACACACACACACACACACCATGAACTGTGCCGCGTTCTTCAAGCACACGGCTGCCTTTCATCCTCAGAACAGTCTTGAAGTGTTGGATGCTTCGTTACCATATCACAGGCGTGGAACCGGCTTCAGACAGCGGTGG